GGTGTAATTCTGATGCTCTAAGCACTAAATTCTCACGTACATATTGTTTAACCTGTTCTGAAACCATAGTGTACTTTGGACGTTGATGAAGCTGTTTGTGGCTAAGTTTAATATTTGCACAATTGCTTGTTAAATTAATTGCAATTGAAAGAAGACCTTCACATGCGTATCTAATTATATATGACCCTGTATTTCGTTGTTTAGAAATATCACTATGCTTTTGACGTTTTGAGACAAGCTCCTCACGACAATTGCACCAGTAATAAAATGTTTTTATATTTGTTTTTTTCGAAGTAGTCTTGGTATGATATATATAATCATAACCGTCTCCTTTCTCAATATAATTAACAATCTTACTTGCAAGATAATGTTCATATTTATTTTCTTCAATATCTGCTGGAATCTCATTAATTAACATATCCAGATTGATCGCTTGCTCAAAATAGAATTCACAACTACTTTCTAAGTTTTCATCGATATCTTCTACATTTGCAAGAGCCTTATAAATTACATCAGTAATGTTATTGACATCAATAATGTTTTCTTTAGAATCAGGTAAAGAAGTAAAATTTTCTTCATATTTTCGCTTTTTACTTTCTTTAATACGGGTTAAACATTCAGAACAAGTTTTTGTTTCATAAAAAGTTTCCGGTGCTTTGTATGTTCTGCACGTTTTGCAGTATAATAAATCCATTGTAAGTAAAAGAAAAATGTACGCTTTTTCACTTAAGCAAATTATTATCGTTATTGATTATTAATCAAAATAAATATTACAAATCAATCATACATATTAAATTATCGGAACTATAAAATTAATTGTGTTTAATTGAGTTTAAACCGTAACTGATTTTTGGGTGATGCTTGGTTCGTGTTATGTACACGGATATTAGTTTGCATGTCTATATAGCATACTAATCAAAACAATTTTTATAAATGAAAATTGAGCTCTGCTTATGTTTGAATAAGGGTATAGTTTGTACCAAAATTTCGCAAGGAATTTTTTTGGTTAGAACTAAAAAGGTAGTTTCATAATCTAAATTACGAGATATAAGAATTTTTCGGAGAAAGCAATACACCTGATCGTGCATTCGATATTGCCCATGTACATACACTACATACACGTAGTGTACAAATAGAAGTTATTTTTAATTATTTAAAATAAATATATATTAAAGTTTATACTTACCCCAATTATCAGTTTGAGACTACCACCAGGGTGCATTTGCTTGGGTTTGTGACTTGTTAGCGGCTTGAGAACCACCCCAAGTGTCAGTTTGAGACTTATCGGCTTTAACACTCCAAGATGTGTTTGCTTCGGATTGTGTCTTATCTGCAGTTTGAGAACCCCAGAGATCACTTTGAGATTTATAGGCTTTAACACCCCAGGATGAATTTGTTTCGGTTTGTGATTTGTTAGCGGCTTGAGAGCCCCATTTATCAGATTGAGAACCCCAAGGAGCATTTTGAGACTTGTCTGCTTTAGTACCCCAGGATAAATTTGTTTCTGGTTCTGACTTATTTGCAGGTTGAGAACCCCAGGAATCACTTCTAGACTTATTGGCTTTAACACCCCTAGATGAATTTGTTTCGGATTGTAACTTAGAATTCCTTGGATTATTTTGAGTCTTATCTATATTAGCTCGTGGTTTGTTAGCAGCTTGAGAACTCCAATTATCACTTTGAGACTTGTCGGCTTTAGCACCCCAAGATGATTTTGTTTCTGATTGCGACTTATTTGCGGTTTGAGAACCCCAGTGATCACTTTGAGACTTATTAGATTTAACACCCCAGGATGAATTTGCATCAGCTTGCGATTTATTAACTGTTTGAGAACCCCAAGAATTAGTTTGAGGCTTATCGGCTTTAGCACTTTGAGAAGAACCCCAAGAGTCAGTTTGAGGCTTGTCCGCTTTAACACCCCAGGGAGGATTTGTTTTAGTTTGAGAACCCCAGGAACAATTTTGAGTCTTATCTGTGACTTGAGCACCCCAATGAGAATTTGGTTTAGTTTGAGACTTGTCTAACTTGTCTGTATTTTGAGAACCCCAAGAATCATTTTGAGGCATGTCTACTTTAGTACCCCAGTGGGAATTTGTTTCAGTTTGAGAACCCCAGGGAACGTTTTGAGACCAAGAATCAGTTTGAGGCTTGTCTGCTTTAACTCCCCACGGAGAATTTGTTTCAGTTTGAGAACCCCAGTGATTGCTTTGAGACTTGTCTGTGTCTTGAACACCAACTAACAATTTTTAATAATAAAAATATTAATAAGAATAGTAATTTAATAATTTAAATTAATATATTAAAATTTATACTTACTAATAATTTAATAATAAGTTATAAGAATTATGATTTAATAATTTAAAATATATTTAAAATTTATACTCACCAGCTAACAATTTAATAAAAGAAATACTAATAAGTTATATAATTTACTAATTTAACACTAGACAAAATCTAAGAATTTGAATGGCACCATTCAACTGCCACTCAACATGCCATTCAACATGTCATTCGACTAATCATTTGACATGTTTAGTCGAATGGTTTGTTAAATAGCATATCGTATGGCAGTAGTGCCACTTGACATGTCGAATTTTACCAGTGAAAATAAATATAAGTTTATACTTACCAACTAACAATTTAATTATAAAAATAATTCTAGGGATTATAATTAAACGATTTAAAATAAAGATATTAAAACTTTTTTAATACTCACTAGCTAATGATTTAATAATAGAAATATTAATAATTTATAAGAATTATAATGAAAACAATTTAAAATAAATATATTAAAATTTTATACTCACAAGCTGAAAATTAATAAAATATTAATTAAATAATTTATAAGAATTGTAATTTAAAATTTTAAAATAAATTTATTACAAAACTATAAGAATCATATTTTCATATTTTACAATTTAAAATAAACAATAAAATTTTATACTCACCAACTGAAGTTTCCGATGGCAATGGAGTATTCGTGGTTACTCGAGGAGGTAAAATAATCGAAGTAACAGCCCTATCTGGAGCTGCCAATTTTGTAAAAATATCTTTCCACAAATTAGGTTCAAGAATTTGTTGAAATGGATATAACTTATCAATAACGTCACCACTTGTTATTTGAAAGTATCGAATATGAGGTAGACAATTTTTAAGAGTAGTTTTTAAAGTTAAGAATTTTGCATTAGACCATTGTGCAGGATTAGAATCCAATCCAGGGTTTTGAGCAATTCCCCATCGAATAACTTGATCCCAAATTTTTCCTTCATCCATTTGTAAGGTATCAAGTTTTAAAAGGGAAACCAAAGCCTTTTCTGAAAGATTTTCAAAATCTTTAGAATCAAAAACTATATTCGGATATTTAGCAATTTTATCATTACAAAATTCTTGTAAAACTTTAAGATTATCATTTTCAAAACAAATTTTATAAACTTTGGCGAAATTTTGGAGCATCCACGATTTATGATGCTTAATCAATTGTGTTTGAGCAGCATTAGCCAATTCTTCAAGACCAAATTCATTAGCAGTGGATAAAATGCCAAAAATTATAGGTGCATCGACATTATCGAATAAAACTATACCACCATAAATATACCTAAATAATTTAGAAAGAAGATACTTTTTAAAAAATTGCGTTAATAATTATAAATTTAAAATTTTGATATTATAACTTACTTCATAACAATTTTAAAACTTTCAGCAGAAATATGGGGCATACTGATTTTTTTAACATTCTTGTCGTAACTTATTTTAATCAACTTTTCATGAAGATAAAGACATCGAAAATTCAAAATAATTGTATGTGCCTTAAAAATTTTACGATCTTGCATTTGATCAACTTCAATCATTACGTTATAATCTTCACCATTTTCAAGAAGATTCGTTAGGTCGCTAGAAAGTTTCTTAAAGAATTCGATGGCCATTTTACGTAACAAGAGTTAAAACAGTTAAGGAGAAAGAAGGCATGTATGTTTACATGCGTATAAATAATAAAAAAAAAGGCTGCATTATGTACTGGCACATGAATATATCTGTCTAAAGATCGAAAAGAGTTGCAATGTGCATAATTTAGCCATAACGCCAACGCCAGCTGTCAAGTAATAAGATAAAGTTTTTAAGATAGCACTTTGACTAGTTATTTACAATAGCTTAGCGACACATATCTAATATTAGGTCAACGTTGTCGTCTTATTCTACTTATCCAATTTGAAAAAAAATCGGAAGTGGTAACATTAACATGGGTCATAATTATAATTATAGTATAAGGGTTTAGTATTTAGATATTTATCTAAAATCTTTACTACTACATAGAATTCCATTTGAAATTTAATTATACTGTATAACATGATCGTGGCTTAACTTTTGTACTTAACATACATAAAACTTTAAAATGAAATAACACGGTAATGACAATCAATGATTTAAATTTAAGCGAAACTATTTGATTCAGATATAAGTACAAGGTCTTTACACATTCATTTGCAGCTTGCTAATCATATGTAGATAATGTTGATTAAGCAACTAAAGGTTACTGACTACTCAATCAGCAATACAAGTTGCACTAAATGTTAGTAAATTTAAGTGTTTTTAAACGTAGCATTATAAAAATGTGCGTAATCGTTTGTTTATAATCAAAGCTATTCTATCTTTAGTTAATCAAAAATCCTACCGTAATCAGTGGTAGATATAGAAATTAAAGCAAGTCCTTACAATTTGATGTATAACGAATAGTTACATGGAAGCTTTCTTTAATGACTATACTCAATGTTTCTGTGTTGAATTATAATCGGAAAAATAAAATAAGAATTTATGATATTAATTTGAAACTCTTCCAAATGAAACCGTGGCTACCAATTAAGAATGAGTCTCAAAAAAATCAATTTTCATTAATCCAATTTTTTTTTGTAAACAATGACACTAAAAAAAGGATAAATTGATAAAGTTAAATTTGAGATGATCAACAATTGTGCAACATTTTATTAATGTCAGTACTGTAGCAAGTAACAGCAAAGACCGTTAATGTTACACTTATATTATATCTGGTGAGGGATTATATCCATCACAATTGAATCCAATATAAATAATTTAATTTGTGATTGGTCACAGGAGAGAGGGATTCACTCTGGATCGGGCACTGTCTCTGCTGTAGAATTTATAATATTATTAATTTAAAACTTCCTCAAATGAAAATCCATTTTCATTAAAACAATTTTTTTTTGTAAACAATAACTAGAGCTTCGGTTAAGTTGCAGAGAGTAAAAATTGCAATTATATATATATATATAATAATTAAAGATGAGTTAAGTTACAGAGAATGATTTGGTATATTTTGTATATTTGGATGTAACTTAGATAGATAAAGAGAATGTATTATGTAAATTAGTGGTATTTGTTGGGAATGGGTTGTGTAATAGATTATATTATTTAGAAGGTAATTTTTATAGGGTTAAATTTGTTTATTAGAATAATTATGTTACATAAGAGTGTTTAAGTTTGATAAATAGATCGAGAGTATTTGTTTAAAATATTTTAGTTTTAAGTAAATGTTATGGCAGATGAATAGGATAGGATAGCGTAATGTTGAAGATTATTGTTGTTTTGTGTTTTTGTTGTTACTTTATGTTTTGATTGTTGAAGGTGTTTAGTTATGATGAAAGACGTATAAACATAAGTTAATTTGTATTTTATTGATTTTCGAATTTAATTAGATAGGTGATTATGTTGCTTTAATTTAAAAATATGCAATAATATTTTAATGAAATTTTGTTATTAGCATTACAGTTAGGGTTGTCAAATTATTGTAATTTTATATGATTTTGTGAAATTTTGCGTAAGTTTTTAGTAATATGTTTTCATCATATCCTCTTATGATTGGTTGTATGTACATTGATTTGTCCGTGAATTTTAT